ATTTATTATATTTAGACAGATGTTTAAAGGAAACACTACGTTTGTACCCGAGTGTGTTTTTTATATCACGAACAGCAGCGGAAGACGTGAAATTACGTAATTAATCATTTTATTCTATACATATATTTTCGATCATGTCACATATGCACACGGAAAATATATGGATCAAATGTAAAATAATTTTAAAATAATATTTAATTGCTCTAACATTTTAAGAATATTAATGTTTATTTCATTTTTCGAAAAGAATCTTATTTTTGCAAATTGCAAATGTAATATTATAAAACGCTTTCCAGATTCATACGTTGTGCCTGCCGGAACAATGTTGCATCTTAATATCTTGGGAGTTCACAGAGATCCCAATTTCTGGACAAATCCAGATGTATTTGATCCGGATAGATTTTTGCCCGAAATGATCCAGAAACGTCATCCTTATTCTTATCTACCGTTTAGTGCTGGACCGAGGAATTGCATCGGTAAATTATTTGCACATTTGCATTTTTTCTCGTAATAAATTATAATACACTTGATAAATTTTGATACACTTTTAATTGTAGGTCAACGATTCGCCATGCTAGAGATGAAGGCTATGATTGCTCCTTTGGTGCACAATTTCTACTTGGAGCAAGTAGATCATATAAAAGATATCCGACTGAGAGCTGATCTAATAATTCGTCCTTCTCGTCCGGTTCGTGTAAAATTCGTTCCAATCAGCAAATAGATGCATTTAAAACTAATAATACCGATTTTCTATGATGTAAGAAATGTGTTGATTAATGTTTTGGAAAAAATAAAGAACGAATTATTATATATTTTTATATGTTTAATAGAATATAAATTATATATGTAACATTATATTTAATCGTGAAAATATACATACTAGATATCTTTTAAGTTAAATCTCGGTATATGTCCGCATTCTTTGTGCGTAAAGATTTAAGGTTATCTACAAGTATAATAAAAACTGAAGCTCATTTAATACGATAGATAAATTTATAATAAACACATTTTCTGCTTCTCTATTGCTCAACTAAACAATGTAGAAATAAAAATATTCTGTATGACGCAAAGATCTTATTATTAATTTAAATTCTTTTTGATTTTACATCTTGTAAGATATGTAATATCTTACTAGACTGCTTTATATCCCGTATTTAAATTTTGTTCTAAATATTATGTACATAGTTTACAAAATGAAGATTTAATTATACCTATCAGTTTGATTGCAATATGAGAAATCAAACTGATCAAGTTCAAACATTAATAAATACGTATATTCAAATAAAAAAATGCATAATTAAAATGTTACATTAATATGCGTATGGGATTATATATAATTATTTATATACGATTATATATATATATATATATATATAAATAATTGTTTACCAGATATTTTTCAATAAAATATTATTGTGCGTCAGAGCATGAAACTTATTACCATACTCTTGATGCGTAAAGAAGAAATATATAAACAGATTTCCAATTTGCAGTATCAGTTTGCGGAGATTTGTTCTGCTGACATGTGCATATATCTGCTTGACGAGATTTGCAGTTTCATTCTAAGTAATTAAGTCGTGTTTTAGATTATTGCATCAAATAATCTCAGGATTATTTTACAAACATTTACACAACTTTTATAAAAATTTATTGTAAAATCTATAGTTAATAATATCATAATTAATCTGTGTTATTAAATGTATTGATTTACGGAAATGTTAAACTAAAAAATCAATTTAAACTAAAAATAAAATAAAATAGTTTAAACTAAAAATAAAATAAATTTAAACTAAACATAAATTTAAAAAAGTTAAACTAAAAACAAAAGCAATAAGAGAGCAACTTTTAAGCAATCGCGATAAGATATATAATTTGTAGATTAAATGAAAACATAAAAAATATTAAAGCATAATAATTTTGATAAAAAATCAAATAAAAACTTTCAAGATAATTCTTTATATATGACAGAGTACAATATATATCTTTATATTTGATCCACAGCTTTGCATACGCAAGTTCATGTTTTTTTTTGTATTATAATAAACACATTTATCATATTTTTTATAGCTCTTTAAGATTAATAATCAATAGAATATTACGCGGCTTAATTTTAAAGAATCATTTTGTTTACATATTCAAGATGACAGGACAATTTTCAGTTTTGTTATAAATGCAATTATTTATTTTGTGACACCTATGATTCAAGGATCGAAGAAATTGAAAGCAGAGAAGAGTGAACTTAGTTAAACGGTTAAGGACATTACGTGAAGAAACAATGTTCATCGCTATATTGTTATTATTCATTTTATTATATTTGTGATTAATTATTACAAGCATCATGGGAGAAACGGCCGACTTATTAATATTATATCCGGACCAAAGGGCTTTCCATTTTTAGGTAATGTACTACAATTCCGACTTTCACCAGGTAAGTACAACATTTCTAATCTGCTTACAATTATTCAATTTAGTGTTAAATAATTTAATCAAGTTAACAATTTCTTTTTCTCAGTGTAGCTATATTCATTTTTCAGAGGAACAATGGAAATTGTTTTTTAATTTATCTAATGAATATTATCCCATTTTTAAACTCTGGGCTTTCTATCTACCCATTGTAAATATCCGTCATCCGGATGATATAGAGGTAATAAATAAAAAAAATATATATAATTACGATTTAGCTAGATTTAGGAATCTTGGTTTCTTTTGTTTTACAAGAATATTTTGTTTGTAAAAAATTCTTAAAAAAATAAAAAGAAATATTGAAGATACTTGATCGAGCTTAAATAATAATTTAAGACGCGATTAATAAATTATCTGCGTATTTATTTTCAGACGATATTAACCAGCACCAAACACATCGGGAAAAGTATGTTATATAATATGTTACATCCTTGGTTCGGCACAGGTCTTCTCACCAGTACAGGTAATGTGACATCCTATACAGCACAAAATATTTTTACAAATATTTTTAAAAAATAAAATAATTCTCAAAAATATTTTAAAAATGTCCGCTTTTTCATGTTTAAAAATATATTTTAGAAATATGTATCAAATATTTAATAAAATATTATGTGAGCGATCAAGAAAAACATATTTAAAAATATTTGTAAAAGTTTTTTTAAATATTCTAAAAATGTTATCACAAAAGATTTCTAAATTATTTTAGAATATTCTTAAAACTATTTTAAAATATTTTTGTGCAATATTTTATAGAAATATTTAGAAATATTTTTTGAAAACATTCATAATATTTTGTGCTGTATGAGATATAACGTGGTATTTTATTGTATAAAACATACATACTTTATATTATTACAGTCTCTATTATTATTGTTTTATCTTTATTATAGAAAATCTAATCTTGCAATTAGATTTGAATATTCTTAAACGTTGAACGTTTACAACTTCTTTATTGTAAAATTAAAAATCTGCAAATTTGTTCATACTGAAGGACAGTTTCATCATAGTACATGTATTCTCAATTAAATATAAAAATAATGGATGTTTTAATTAAAGAAGATTTTGAATTAAATCAAACACAGTAACGTAACAGACTTTTAATACATTTTTTCTATCTCTCTGCAAAGTTTTAATTACAAAATAATTAAATTTACATTGATACTTTTAAAGATTTAAAAAGTTTAAAAGAAAATTGCAATATACAAAATTAATATAAGATAATTAATCATTTTTAAAAGTGCTTGATTATATACATTAAACTGGGAGAGATTATTATTGTATCGTAATATCTTGCATTATCTTATTTTATATATGTATATGTATATAGGTGTTAAGTGGCAATCACGGCGAAAGTTATTGACTCCTACATTCCATTTCAATATATTAAATCAGTTTGTTGAAATATTAATCAAAGAGGGCGATTACATGGCACAATCTTTGAAGGATGGTGAAGGAACAGTCGTAAAAGATTTGATACCATTTATTAGCGAACATATGCTAATACGATATGTGGTAAGATTCTTATTATTTTGTTATGTCGGAGGATTTTATTCTAAATGACAACAGCTTCCCATACAGCATAAAATTTTTTAAAAATTTCTTAAAAGATAAAATAATTCTCAAAAATATTTTTGAAATGTTTCTATGTCCGCTTTTTCATGTTGTTTAAAAAATATTTTCAGAAATATTTTTTAATATAGATGTAAACTAATATTTCAAAAACATGTATCAAATGTTTAAGAAAATATTATCTGAGCCATAAAGAAGAACATTTTTAAAAATATATTTAAAAGTTGTTCAAAATATTCTAAAAAATGTTATTACAAAATTTTTTAATCATTTTAAAATATTCTTAAAATATTTAGAATGTTTTTATGGAATATTTTATAGAATATTTAGAAATATGTTCTAAAAACATTTATAATATTGTGTGCTGTATAGGTTAAAACAAGAAAAAAATTAGTTTTTATATAAAAAGTATCAATACTACAGTGAAAATAGATAATATACGATTTTTTTATATAGAAAAAAGTAATATTCAGTAATAATAATATTTTCGATCTCATACATAATAAATGTACATATAGAAACAACTATGGGCATCTCTCTGCAAAACCTGGCAAAACAATTCAACAACAGTATCGAAGTGCGATTCACGAGATAATTGAACTAATAGTTTATAGTAATTTATGGATATAAAAAAATACTTATTGTGTATATGTATATATATCCAAAATATTGAAATCGTATGATGGTGTATATTTGTGATATAGCTATATTTTTTGAAAAAAAAAGAATAATTATTAAATAGTCATGTAAAGATCAGTAATTAATTGTAAATGATCAATTTCTGTCTGTAAAAATACTTAACGTTTATTCTAAGATTTTACAATAATTTGAAATAAGCAGACTTTTACAAGATTGCCTCAATATTGGAATTATCTATATCCTTATGTATATTGAATTACGATTTAGAATAATGAGTCCTTGGATCTATAATAATTTAATATTTGCATTATCATCACAAGGAAGAAAGCAAAAAAGATCTTGAAAATATTGCATGGATTTACAGAAAAAGTATGTTATTAATTACATATAAAATTAAATAATAAATCTCGTTAATTTTATTTCATAAAATTGTTCAGGAATATTAATAATGCATTATATTATTGTTTGTGCTATTGTTATTTTAACACACAATTATTTTAAAAATGTATTATTATATAGATCATCACGGAAAGAAAACTTTATCACGAACGCACTAATGGTCAATATTTAAGAAACCTTAAAGATGACAAAGAGACGGAGACAGATCATGCAGAAACATTTGGAAGTACGTATGATATTTTAATTTAAGTTCGATAGTGCATTTTAATGCTATATAAGTTATGTCGTAAAATTAAATTATTATTGATTGTAATATAGTTTAAATTTTAAATAAAAAAAGATAATATATAATAAAAATATGACACGTAAAAATAATATTCATGATAATATATATGTTTTGTTATTTTTAGTTAAAAAAAGCGACTAGCTATGTTAGATCTCTTAATCTATCCCAAGAACATTCTTTGACTGATTTGGATATCAGAGAGGAAGTCGATACCTTTATGTTTGAAGTAAGTTTTGCAATTTTTTATTAAGTTTTGATACACATTACTTATGCATATGATGATAATTACAGGGTCATGATACTACAGGATGGCTATGAATTTTGTTTATTATTATTAGCTGAACATAAATGATATGAGTAATTTTTTCAATATATTGCGATTATGATTTTTCTTGCCATTTTTATGCAAAAGTAAAATATCAAGTTTTTGTATTTTAGAGCATTTTTAGATGCTTTATATAAGTTTAATTTATCTATACTAGATTTCACAAGCGCGCTTCGTGCGCATCTTTGATTATTTTATTTTTTATTTTATAACTGTCAAATTGTTAATCTTTGCGATGACAGTTGCTTGATGCTATAAATATGACTATAATTTTAATTCGCCGAATTTCTATAATTTTAAATTTGTCAATTTCTATTATGTACATAATTTTAATTTGCCGAATTTCTATTGTATTATTTCAGAACATTTGTATCTTTTATATATTTTTCAATTTTATTTAGTTTAATCAAAATAATTACGTGCAAAGTTATATGCTTCGATAAAATTTTAAAATTAAAAAATGTATAAAATTATTATTGCAATGCATGCATAGAAATATATTTATTAATTACGTGATTCATAAAAATTCAATATATCAATTTTAAAAAAAATAAAATAAAATTTTTAGAAGAATTTGCGCTTTAGATTAGTAAAAACATACCTATTATAATGCGCATTCGCGTACGTGATTCGTGCGGGGTATCACGAGCGCGGGGATGGTCACATGACCAGTAGTCACGTCCATTGGTCACATGACTATTGGTCATTTGCCATCGAGCCCGCGCTTGCGAATCGCACAAGAATTAGTTTCGCGCAAGCCCGCAGCGTGACGAATGTAATATAAATCACGCCCGAGTTTAATTAAATGTACTTGATTACAAAAGATTTTTGTAGAAAATTTATTTTTCGTTCGTAATTTCTGTTAGATTTAAATATTGAATTTTTTGCGTTGCATAATTAATTCATATATTTTTTATGGATTAATTGCAATAATAATTTGATTTGCATGCATGCGTCGCAATTTTTGAAATTTTATTATCAAAGAATAATATAACAGCTTTTCGTGCTAATTATATTCAATTAAATTAATAAATAATGTATAATATATACCTAAATGCTATATAAATTTAGTATTTATAAGCAGATTTATGATTTTAATACAATAAAAGTTATTATTAAAAATAATTTGTTCATAAATCAAACTGTTTTGTTATCAATTTAATTATAATAGGAAATTATTGTTCGTATAGTAAACTGATAGTAAAATTTTAATACAAATTTGAGAAATAAATTCAATAATTTTCATTAAAAAATGCAGGTATAAATGATATGCTAATATACAATAATATTAAACAGTTATATTTTAATTTTATATTTTATTATATATTTCATATTTTAATTTTAATTTGCGAATATCTTGTACAAAATGTTAATTTGCAATTTTTATTATATAATTTTAGTTTTGAATTTTTGTTATGTTCTAAAAAACACAACCGCGCCTTCGCGAAAAAATTGATATTATTTTAATTTTTATTTTACAAATGCAAACTGTTAACTTTTACGATGAGTTGCTTATGCTATTAATATAATAACAATATTAAAGAGATATATTAATCAGATTCAAACAAAACATCCACTTTATATTTGCACAATTTTTTGACGTGACTTTTTGAGATTTTGTTTTTTGCGTTGGTTTTAATATTAATATTTTTCAATAATATGGACTAATTATTAAAGATTATATGTATATTAATATATGTAAATAATATGTAAAGATTATATATTAATAATAAAAATATGTCGATGCAAAACGTACGTATAATTATAGCTAATTTTATTTTTAACATCGAAGCTTATCAATTCTTATCTATTCTACTGTCATTTAACAGAGTTGCAAAATGACGATTATCGGAACTAACCATTGAACTTTAAGCCATATCCACACAAACTTGCATAAACGCATAAGCGTAAGAAATTTGATTGGTTTATTTTCCTATATATTTATTTATGGACCAATCAAATTTTTTATGTATACGTTTATGCGTTATGCAAGTTTGTGTGGATATACTCTTACAAAGTCTGATGAAAATAAGCTTAGAATAGCGACAGACTGTTCAATTAAACTAAAGCCATACATATTGTAAGTTGTAATGTTACTGTTCTAGTTCTTCATCCTGCATTAAACTTCTATGTGCTCTATTCAAGTAAAATTCTGCAATATAATATTTTAGAGAAAGGGAAGATAAGGATTCTGACAAAGAAAGTGACACAAATATCCCCTCCAATTTTGATGAACTTTGGATATGTTATTTAATTGTAAGTTGAAATTAGAGAAGTATAGTTTTTCAAATTTATTACTCTTACTCTGTAAAACAACTTTTGAAAAAATCGACTTAGCGTGTTCGATCATATATACACTTTTCTAAAAATTTGTTAAGAAAGTAAATTTTTATTTTTTTGTGTGCAACAATAATATCGATGTTGATACTTTGGTTTTGAAAAGTTTGAACAAAAACATTTAAATAAATTTACATTTCAAGCCACATTTTCTAATATAATTTCATTACCATTCTTACTTTCTCAGATAAATATATAGATTGTTTTATGATCTTTAATCAAAATGGAATTTTTTTCTGCCTCTTAAGATAAACTCTGACTGTCAATATTATTCTTGAACTGAAAAAGAGTTATAAATATAAGTCTCAGATCATCATCGTCACTCGTGGAGAATTATTATTATACGTGTTTCAGCTTGACATTTGCGATTTTATTTTATAGTTTCGTATATTTAACATATCAAGGAAAATGTCAGTTTTATTGACTATTATTCATATATAATTGACTATTAATTCATGACACTTGTGATTCAAGAATCGAAGAAATTGGAGAAAATTGATAATTAGACGGTTGAGAAAACATTACGTCACGAAACAATGTTTATCACTATATTATTATTATCCGTTTTTATTTTATTGGTGTATAATTATTACGTGCATCATGGAAGAAACGGGCGATTGATTAATCTTATACCGGGACCAAAAGGCTATCCGATTTTTGGTAATATACTGCAATTTCATGTTTCATCAGGTAAGTACTAAATTTCTAATCTGAAATAAGTAAAATTTAACTTGTCGTTCTTGTATTCAAGCAAAAGTTAAATTTATAAATCCTGATCTGTCAATATGTTACTGCATGGAAATTATTTATAAAATATCATGAATATTTAAAAAAAATATTTCTATAAAATATTGCATAAAAACATTTTAAAATAATTTTAAGAATATTTTTAAACAATTTAAAAATTTTTTGTAATAACATTTTTTAGAATATTTAAAAAAACTTTCAAAAATGTTCTTCGCTCAGATATTTTCTTAAATATTTGATACATATTTTTGAAATATTAGTTTACATCTATATTCAAAAATATGTTTTAAACATGAAAAAGCGGACATAGAAACATTTTAAAAATCTTTTCGAGAATTATTTTATCTTTTAAGAAATATTTTTAAAAGATTTTAAAATCTTTTGTGCTGTATGAATAATCAGCTTATCAGTATTTCTCTTTTTAATAATATCTGTATTCACATAATTATCAAAAATCTGTTTTTAACGTGTGTAAATAAAGCTATAGTAACATTAAAATTAATCTTAACACACTGAGAAAAAATTTGTTAACTTGATTAAATCGTTCAACTAATTATTATTTTGTTAATTGAATATATAAATATATTTAAATTAAATACAACAATATTAAATTTAACATAACGCGCATTTGACTTAAATACTTAATTAACTAAATAATAATTAGTTGAACGCATTTAGTCAAATTAACAATTTTTTAGTGCAAGATTTTTGTAACCATATTTATATTTTTCAGAAGAACAATGGAAGTTATTGTGTCATTTATCTGATGAGTATTATCCTATTGCAAAAACCTGGACTCTCTTCACACCTGTTCTAACTATTCGTCATCCAGATGATGTCGAGGTAATAAAAGAAATTCAATTCTCTCGAGACACTTACGATTTCAGCTAGATTTAGGAATCTTGCATTCTTATTTTATAAGAAGATTTTGATTCATAACAAAATATTTCTTAAAAAAAAAATTCAAAAAATGATCGAAGATATAGTTGAGATTAAATAATTTGAGATACAATCAATTAAATTATCTGTGTGTTTAAGATTAAATGCTATTTTAGACGATATTAAGCAGCACCAAACACATCGAAAAAAGTCGTCTTTATGATATTTTATTACCTTGGTTTGGTACAGGTCTTCTCACTAGCACAGGTAATGTGATATATAAAAAAATGTGACTTTATTATTACAGCCTGTTATCATATATAGCTTATCTCCGTCACAAAATATCAAATATAATTTTATCATGAAATTTGATTATCTTAAATATTGACATACAACTTCTTTATTATAAATTAATTCATTATAAAAAAATTGCAAATGCCATCATATTAAAGATTAATTTCATCATGGTACATGTATTTTGAACACAATAGATATGCTTTAATCTAAAAAGCTGTATGATATTTTTAATTAAATTAAACATTATCATAATTAAATTTAATTAAATTGTATTAATAAATATTTAATAAATTTTAATAGTTTTTTTCTATTTGTACAAATTCGTAAAGTTTTAATTATAAAACAAATTCACGTT